ACTCCTGCTGGTTCCCATGGGAAGAAACGGAAGGTTCTCTTGACTACGACCGTTGACGCCAATAGAAAGAGGTGCAAGATGAACAAAGACATCGTAGCTACTTATCCAAGCTCTTTCCAGCCCGGTGGTACTACAAATGTAGCAGCTGAGGTTCCCGCAGGCTGGGAGGATGTTGACCCTGCTCTACTGCATGAGTTCAAGGATATTATCAATTTGTTCTAAAGCTTGATAGCTAGACATAATCTGTGAAATTCAGCATGTGGTGCGGATATGGAAGCATCCATCCACATTCCTTCCTTCACAAGTACATCTAGTATCACAGTAGGCAACCGAATGTTGTCAGAATATGCGGAGAATGCCATACAGAAGTGAAACTTAGTATAGTGAACCACTTAAGAATTTCGCACGCGAGGTAAACACCGTAATAAGCCCTTCAGATACTGCTCAAGGAGTAGAAAAAGAACACACACACTCGCTCATCTTCTCCAAAGCATGAGTTGCCATCGCAATGTGAAAGTGAATGAGAAAAAGAGTGAAAGCCCTCGAAGGCCCAAAAGGGAAACGCGCTGAAAGTCACGCACCCCCAGGCCTACTTTCTATAAGACCTTCTAGCTTTGTCCGTGACTCTCATGTCTCACATCACCTGCCTTCAGTTTCCAACACTATCTTTCCAGACTCTTCCTAATCTGCATTAGCGAGGTTCATGGAACAGTGCAGAAACACACAGGTAGTGTTTCACGCTAGTGCTGATTTGTATACATTTCGATATAGGGCTGGCTGTTGACACATTCTCCTCTTCACTGATCTAGATTTCTCTCTCTCTTCTCCACTAACAAACAATCTTCTGCTTCCCAACTTCGCGTCGATAGACGATTCATCTATCACAACATACCGAAATTAACTTCGAAGCACATCAATAGTCAGGTATGTGATTCAATATGATTCTTTTTTTCACAGAATCCTGTCTTTTGTTCTTCGGGGTTGTGTGTACTTTGACACAGGTGACGCGCCCGCACGCCTCGCTGCATCATGACTTGACCATCGCTAAGCGAATAGTTGGGCACAATATATCCCGTCCCATCTTTCATCGGTTTTATCACTTCTTTTATCTTGGACTTCGTCAGTACTCTTGAAGCAGGCATGCTAACTTGGAATCAGAGAAGTTGCACACTGTACCTTCGTGGTCGTTCCTCAATATGGGGAAGCTCAACTACCTTGGCGTGAGTTCTTCCATTGAGTATCAAAATATGATAACCCTAGAGAACAGTGGCTGACGATGACTTGCTGAATAGCGAAAGATTAGAGGCATCAAAGCGGGCCAGGCCGTCTTAACTAGCTTGGTAGGTGGTAGTCGAGTGGTCTTAACTCTAGCGAAGTAGACTGACAACTGCTTATAGAAAAAGCGATTGCCGCCTGAAGATCGCAATAAACCGGGCAACCATGAATCGGCTTTACGAGACCCTGTCGTTGAAATCGATATTACCGGGAAAGAGTTGACGGATGTTGGCCTCAACCAGTTCATCGATGTCTTGATCGAGTGCATCAAATTTGAAATCAAAGAAGTTAGAGAGGGCAAAGTTCATACCTCCCGCATAGTAAAGGTCGCTGAGCTCCACTTCCAAGGTAACCAGCTTACCGTGGAGTCGTTGGCTAAACTGGCAGAGGTAGTCGCTTTATCGAAAGGTGACCTTCGGGAACTGGATCTCTCCAAGAACCAGCTTCACATTGAGACTGCGGAAGATGTGGAAAAGTGGGAGGCCTTTCTCGGGAAGTTTAAAAATTGTTACATGCTCAAGAAGCTTGATCTGAGTGGTAACCCCCTTGGTTGTCTGGGCATTGAGCACTTCGCGCGGGTCTACCTCAAAAGTGACCTCGACTGGCTTTTGAGTGATGCTCCGGACATTATTGGTCCTGACCCTAACGCCAAAAGTGATTCAATTGATGATGATTTGGCTAGAATGAAGTTGTCGGACAAGGAAAACGAGCCTAAGGGATCCAAAAAGTCGCCTGACAAGGGTAAAAACGCCCGTCCGAAAAGTAGGTGCACGGCTTCCTCTTCTAGGTATGTATCTGGAACTAACAGATGACCTTTTCTAGGCCACACACAAATTGAATGGGCCGAAGAGGCCGAGTTTACTTGCACTCGGGGTCTGCGTTCCATTCCTCATCTCATCCTATCGGAGATTGGACTGTCCAACACCAGTGCCCTTCATCTGCAAAGCATGCTCAGAGCTCAACACACGCCGGAGCACCTACTTAAGTTCCTTCCTCAAGGGAAGTCTGTGACTCTTCCTCAAACTGCGTCCCTATGCAAGAGCATAATTTGGCGCCCTACCAATGATCTCCCGCCATACACAGTGCGGCTACTGGAGGTGGCAGAAAGTCTTCGTGATGTGGTGTCCGATACAGAGGCTGAAGGGCAGAGTATAAACGACGAGAATGACGGCAAAGAGTATGCCAGCCGCGGCAGAAACAAAGGACAAGACCATGACGAGAAACCCGCAAATCAGGTTGGGAATGATCTGAAAACCGAATACGCTCGTCTCTGCAAACGCGTCCAACTTGAGGCAATCAAGATAGAAGGCGTGCATAGCAGCACACTTTGGAGCACCGCACTGAAAATGATGCTCATATCACGGACAATCTTGCTGGATGATGACAATCGTCCGAGATCGGATAGTAAGGTGGGAGGCACCGATGTCGAGAATAACGTACGCGTGGACGAAGGCGAGAAAGAGGCGGAGTCGATTCAAGGAGACGACAGCTCATCTGATGGGCCAAACTACGCCCATGTGGAGTTTGTTGAGCCTCGTAACCGGACTCGCGTGCGGTTTGTCGAACCTAATACTGGTGCATACTCGTATCCAGGTGAAGATATCGCGCACATAGGCCCTCCGGTTACGAACACTGCCCCTGAAGGGGCCGGACAACGCGCCGGTCCATCCTACTCCCGCTATGAAGCGTTCGTCTCCGAATTTCCCACGCCTCAGGAGGCATATGAACCTTCTGCATCGATGAATGCGGCTGTCGCGACTGAAGTCATGCAAATCCCTTCTGCAGCGTCCTCAAGCTCGGGTACAAGGAGCCGGAACCCTGATGAAGACCGCGTGTTGCGGTTCGACGTTCCTTTAAAGGTTTGGCGACGAACGATTGCCTATGTCGTCGGCGCGAATGGGCTGCTTGACAATGAGCAGCAGAATTGCATTCTGAAGTATGCCGCTAGCTGGGAGGCCCTCGAACACGCACAAACATTCCAAGGCGCCGAAGAGCACCAACAGATTTGGAAGCTCCTCCAGACGTTGGATTGCTTCAATTACAGCGTGTGGAAGGCTGATCGATCCAAGGTGAAGTCGATCAAGGGGAAATGAAAACTGCAGGACAGGTATTTCAGATCGCAATGTGAAACGCAGAAGACATGATTTCAAAAGTTCAAAAAGGAGAGCCACTGTACGAGTGATCAGTCGATGAAGGTGCTCGACTCAGATTCGGGATGTCTGCCGGCCAGAGCCTGGTCTTTGTATGACACTGATCAACGAGATCCTTGTCTGGCGAGTCCATAATAATAGCTTAATAATGATAATGATGATAAAAATTGATTTCTGCGTAATAGATGTCAGAACTATCGACACGTAGGATCGAAGTTTTACTCCAAGATGCCTCACTCAGTCTTTTGGTGAATCCCCCTTCCCCGCACGTGACCCCTCATTATCCATCTTCGCCATCTTCGCCTTTACCTTCACCTTCACCTCTACCATTCACCTCTTCTTCTCCTTCTAACGAATCCCCTAAAACGAGAGATAGCGTGTCGATCCAGAATCCTCCCTAGGCTCAAACAACCATGATGCGGACCAAAAGAACCAACACTCAGCCCTTAGAAGATGCCTCCATCTCGCCCGCCACCTTCAACGACGGCCTTCCCCTCCCGAAGCTGATCGCCTTTGATCTCGACTACACTCTCTGGCCATTCTGGGTCGACACGCACGTCAGCGCCCCTATCAAGCCCCGCGACAACAATTCCCGCTGCACGGATCGGTATGTCCCCTCATCCCCTAGCAAAACCACTACCATATAACTCACCCTCACATCCCGCAGCTGGAACGAGTCATTCGCCTTCTACCCCGCCGTCTCCTCTATCGTCTACGCCTGCAAAAGCAAGAACATTCCGCTAGCTCTAGCCTCGCGCACTCACACCCCCGATCTCGCCCGCGACATGCTCAAAGCTCTGCACATCATCCCTACGTTCTCTGATAACCCCGCGGCGAAGACCAAATCTGTGCGCGCACTGGACTACTTCGACTACGTGCAGATCTTCCCGGCGAACAAGACGCAGCATTTCTCGCGCATTCAGCAGGCGAGCGGGGTGGCGTATGAGGAGATGTTGTTTTTTGATGATGAGGCGAGGAACCGGAATGTTGAGACTGAGTTGGGGGTGACGTTTTGTCTGGTGAAGGATGGGATGACGAGGGAGGAGGTGGATCGGGGAGTTTGGGCGTGGCGGAAGAGGAATGGGATTAAGCAGCGCAAGGAGGGGGATGTAGAGAATGGGGATGAAGAGTGATGTTGTGTGTGGGGTGGGTTATAGACATGCGTTGTAGATATGGGTGTTGGCGTTTAGTTGGGTTTTGCTATGTTAGATATGATGATAGATACCCGGTTGGGATAGATGACGACTATATACTTATACTTTTGATATGTACATTAAATACATTGGTTTATGTATCAAGCGTGGTAATAATCTATAAGGGAATATGGTGCTACTCTTCCTCTACGGAGTACTCACGGGCCCGTGTCGGTCTCCACAACTCACCTCCGCGGACATCAATCAACTTCCACCATAACATCCGCAACCACAATCAACAACACAACACAGCACAACCAAACACAACAGATACTACTCAGTCTATCGCCTACATACCTACCTACAAAACCTTCCCACCACTCTCAATCACCTCTTCTCTACAATCTCACATCAGAACACCACCACCACCACCAACCCAAATATGGACCCCCGACAACACCAACAATCATCAACATCAACACACCTCAAACCACCACCCTCCCACCACACCCAGCAACGCGCACCCCCCTCCCCCTCCCACTCCCAATCTCACCACCACCGCACCCCCATAACCGCGCACCCCAGCGCCACCATCTCCGAAAGCCTGCTAATCCAAGGCTCGCACCCAATCTCCATCGGAGCGAGCACAATAATCCACCCACGAGCTCGAATCTACTCCTACGAAGGGCCCGTAATAATCGGCAACGGATGCATAATCAGCGAGAAGAGCGTTATCGGGTCCGCGCCCACCACCTCCACATCCACAACATCAACCACATCTACATCAAGCGGCATCGCCAGCAAAGACGAAGGGTCGATTCTACCTATCCGCATCTCGAACAGCGTGACAATCGGCCCAGGGGCGCAGATCCTTCCCGGGGCGCATATTCATAGTGCGAGTTGTGTGGAGGCGCGCGCGGTGATTGGGAGGAGGAGCGTGGTGGGATCGCATTGTCGGGTGTGTGCGGGCGTTGAGGTGGCGGATGGGGATGGGGTTGCGGATTGGATGGTTGTTTGGGGGGGTGGGAATCGGAGGAGGAGGAGGGCTGTGGGGAGGGTGGAGCCGAGTAAGGTGGTTTTTCCTGCACCAGCAGGAGGGAATGGTGGAGGGAATGGTGTTGGGGGAAATGGGTTGGAGGGGAGGGTGATTGAGGAGGCGAGGTTGATGGTGTTGCAGAGGGAGAGGGATGCGTTGGTTAGGTTGATTGGGGGGAGGAGGAGATGAGATGTTTTTTTTATTGTGATAGATTGTTGGATGATGGGGGGAAGGGGGGTTTGTTTCTGCTCTATACCCAGTTCATATGCATAGTTTTGAAAACACTGCAAGCAAGCATCATGTTATTTTGTGCACGTTCTTGACTTGCTAAGTCTCGATGTATCTTACTACTTAATATGGCACGTATCGTTTAAGACAAAAGAAATCTGATGTTGCATAGAACATCTACCCTATCCCAGCAGACACATTGAGACATAAAGTACATGGAAAAAATGAAAGAAAAATGCAATTCACGCTGTCCTAGATCCTATGACCCCCGGGTATGACCTCCTCCCCTCATGCGCTTTCCTCCAGTGGCTCCTCCTTCGCCTCCAGCTTCTCCTCCATCCTCACGAGCACGCTTGTTGCCCTGAGGCACGAACTGGCGAGCACCGGCATTCAGCGAGCGGCCTGGACTAGCCTGTCCCTGCTGCGCGGCATTCGTAGCCTGTACATTTTGGTTTCCGCCGCGTCCATGACCTCCGCGTCCGCCACGGCCCCGGGGCAGACCAGAGCCGCGCTGGCTAGGAGCTTGCTGCTGGGCTTGACCCTGACCTTGCGCCTGTTGCTGCTGGCCCTGTTGCTGGCCAAAAGGATTCGCCTGCGACCCGCCGCGGCCGCCGGTTCTGCCGCCTCGTGCGACGGGCAATCCGGATGTCAGTGCTCGCATAAGACCGGGAGCATTGCCGGCCGGAGGCTTGCTGGGCAACGAGGTGGGTTGCTTGTTCTGGCTCTGCCCGAACGGGTTCGGAGGAGCATTGGTGGTTGGCTGAGCCGTTGCAGGGGCAGCTTGTTGTTGTGCTGCTTGTTCAGGCGCAGGTTGTTGCTGCGGTTGCTGCTGTGCTGGGGCACCTGTCTGCGGCGTAGATTCAGCAGAAGGTGGCTCGGCTGTGGAAGCTGCTGCAGGCTCCGCAGGCTGTGCCTGGGGTGCAGCTGCAGGCGTAGTTGCGGGTGTGGCCGCAGGAGTGGCCGTCGGAGCAGGCGACGGCGATGGTACCACCGGGGTAGCCTGGGCCGCTGCGGGCGCGGGAGACGGTGCAGGCGCAGGGGATGCCACCTGGGCGGGCTTGGCCTGCGCCGCCGGAGGCGCTCTGGTGGTCTTTGCGACCTCCCACACTTCGACAACGGGCTTCTGTGGTGTCTCCGTAGCAGCCTTCTGAACCACATCGATCTTGGCCTGGGCTGTCCTGTATCGGGTATCCAGCATGCTTAGCTTCGCCAGTGATTTCTTGTCCGACAACTCGACGGCAGCCTTGATCTTCTCCTCCACACCCTCTTCATGGGCCTTCTTCAACGCTTCTCTCTCTTCGTTAAACTTCTGCTCCAGTGTGCTCATGGCCTCCTGGTTGGCTTGGCTCTCCTGCTTGTCAGTTTCCTTTTGCTTAGCCACCTGGGTGCGGATGTTGCTCCGAATGATGTTACGAATGGTCTCGTTCTTGGCAACAAGCTCCCTGGCTTGCGCGTCCGTCAGCTCAGGCAGTCCAGTGTCCTTGGAAGGTGTCGCTGGAGCAGCCGCAGGAGTCGCCGGCGTTGCTGGCACCTGCTCGGATTTGGGAGCTGGGGTTCCAGGTTCCTGAGGAGCGGCTGGTTGACTGGACTTCAACCGCTCAACTTCCTGCCGATGAGCAGCCCGGACTTCAGCCAGCTTGCTGTTGAACATCTCCTTCAGCTTGTCAGAGCGTTCCTTGATCTTGGCCTCGTGTTCTGTTTCCTTCGCGGCCAACGCAGTCTCCTTCTCCGCAAGAGCTGCCTCGAGACGCTGCACCTTCTCTTCCAGAGCCTTCACGCGTTGGTCGTCAGAGGCGGCAGGCGGCTGCGTTGTTGGCGCAGGGAACTGAGAAGCAGGCGTCGAGTCAACACCCGTAGTTCCTTCGACAGCAGGAGCTGCAGGTGCTGCAGGTTTCTCGGCCATCCTCGTCTTCAACTCATTCAGCTCCTCCCGAGTCGTCTTGAGTTCTTCTTGAATAACTTCCTTCTCTTGCACGACCGTATTCAGCTCCACTTGTTTAGCGTTGATACGGCCAGTCAACTCCTTAGACCGAGCCTTGAATTGGTCCGTGAGCTTCGTGCGCAGTTCTTGCACACGATCCTCCGCATGCTTCAACTGTTCTGGGAATGCAGCAGCCTGGGTTTGTAGAGTGTCCCGGGCAGCAACGGCCTCATCACGTTCCTTTTCCAAAGTCTCAAGTTTCTCCTTCAGACCTTCCATTTCCGCAGGGTCTACCCGATCGTACTTCTGCAAGATGTTCTGCGTACGTTGCTGCCACCGGTCCCTGTCATCCTGCAGCAACTTCAGCTCTCCATCCTTCGTCTCCACAGTGTTCTCTAGCTCCCGGATTCTAGTCTCTAGCGGTTGAATCTGCTGAACAAGTTCTTCGATGCGAGAAGACTTCTCCGCAAGTGAAGTTTCCGCCTGCTTGACCTGGTTACGCAGCGTAACACTACTCTCGCGGAACAGGTTGAGTTCGTTCAGGGTCTCCATCAACTTGTTGTGGCTGAGAGCACTGTGTTCACTGTCGGCAGCCGCGCGACGCTGCTGCTCGAGCTTAAGCCGGGCTTCGTCAAGCTGGGTCTGGGTGTAGTCGAGTTGCTGACGAAGACGCTTGCTTTCCTGGGTTGACAAATGGTACTGCACATCGACGATTTCCTTCTCACGACGCAGGAACTTAATCACCTCCTGGAGGCCTTCGAGGTTGGGCGCCCCAGCCTCTCCGTCCTCATCCCCCTCAGGAATGTTAGCCCGGTCGCGCTGGAGGGCTGCGATCTGGTTTGTAATGTTCTCGAGTTGGGTATGCAGCAACGTATTCTGGTGGAGAACTTCCTCGCGGCGCTTCTGCAGTTCCGTAAGCTCACTCTCATACCGGTCCTTGATCTCAGTCCAGCTTTCCTCCTTCTGAGCAAGGTCCTTCTTGAAAGTGTCGGCCTGAGTCCGGAGTTCGACAACTTCCAGCTTCAGCTGGTTAGCTTCGGACCGGACCAATTGTAGGGTCTTCGCGGCTTCGGCATGCTTGACCAACTCGGTCTCGTAGTTCTGTTGGGCATGCTGCGCGATTTCAGCTTGTGCCTTGAGATCCTCCTGGTGGAATTGAGCAGAAGCGATCTGCCGTTCATTTTCGTCCTTCAACCTTGTGATCTCTGCTTCCAGCGCGGCCTTCTGCTCCTCCAAATGCCGGCCAGCCTCCCCTTGCTCGTCACGCAGTTTGGTAAGTTCGCCATTCGTAGTCGAAAGCTCGGTAGAAATTTCTTCGATGCGCTTCTCAAGGTCCTGAATCTTCTTATCCTTCTCTTCGATGAGACGCTCCGTTTCCTCCCGATACTGTTCCTGGGTCTCAGTAACCGACTGCAGACGCTCTTCGCTCTGCTGACTGATAGCCTTGTAGTCTTCCACCCGCTCTTCCGCGTGCTGTAGCTCATTCTTTGTCAACTCCAGATCACGACGGAGCTCGGAAACTTCAATACCAAGCTCCTGTTCGCGTGTCAAACCACTCTCCTGGCCTTCCTCCGGAACCGCAGGCGCTTCAGTAGGAGCAGCAGACACACTTGGCTTAGTCTGCACAACCTGAAGGCGTTCTTCGGCGCTACGCAGCTCGACAGTGAGTTCGTCGACTCTCGACTGCAAGTGATCTCTTGTCGTCTTCGCAGCAACCAACTCCTCCCGAGCGGCGCCCAAGCTCGTCACCAAGTCATCAATTCGCTTCTGACTTTGCTCATGTTCGTATTCCCTGCGCAAAGATGCCTTCTTTCCCTCCTCAACCTCATCGTTAAGCTTCCGCTTGGTGGATTGAAGCTCCGATTCGAGAGACTCCACGCTACTCTGCAAACGACGACGACTCTCAGCATCGGTATGCTCCCGCTCATTGAGGATGGTTTGAAGATTGGCGTTGAGAGAATCAAGTCGGCCTCTCTCGTTGCGCAGTGTCTCGTTGTCCTCGATGAGTCTCTTCTCGATATTCTTCCAGAGATCCTTCTCTGCCTTAAGGTTGGCATTCTCCCGTTGAAGGCTCTCAACGAGACCCTTCGTCTCCACCAAATCTTCCGCAGCCTGCTGAGTCCTGATGTCTTGTCGGTTGGCGTTCTCCAGAAGTGTGGCGTAGCGTTTCTGCATTTCTGCGTTTTCGTTCTTGAGCATGTCGAAATTGCCCTGGAGAAGCTCGGCTCTTTGGGTGGCGGCAACAAGCTGGCTGCTGGAGCGGCTAATTTCGCTCATCAGTTCACTGTTCTTCCTGGACAGCTCATTGACCTGTTGCTTCAATGCCGCATGATCGGTGGCGGACTCCTCGCGGAAGCTGTCGAAGTGTGCCTGCACCTTGCGCAACAGATCAGCGTAGTCTGGAACATCCTTTGCCGGCTCTTCGGAAGCGGGAGGAGCTGCGCCCAGAGGAAGAGACTGTGAGAAGACAGATGCGTCGCCAACGGTTTGACGACGGCGGGTAAGCATGCTCCGGAAGGTATCCCTCTCCTTAACATAACTCTTTGTTTGGGCGACGAGGTTAGCGATCTCGTCACGGTAAGTCTGCACTCGGATTCTCAGCTCCTTCAACTCTTCTTGCTCTTGTTGACGGATGGCATCCTGCTCGCGGGCCTCTGCGCCCTCCATCTTATCCCCAAGCTCTCTCAACATACGGCGGAGAGTGACATTCTGCTCTTGGAGCTCGTGAAGATCCTTGAACGTCATCAAATTGCGACTGATGAAACGTCCGGTTGGGTTGAGATCAGCAGAAGAGTCATCAATCTCCTGGCGTGCAATCTTCTCGAGTTCCTCTCTATCGTACGTGGTCTCGCCTTCCTTCAGAATGGCATTTTCCAAAACCAAGACCTTAATCTGAGCGCTCAAATCTCTCAGTTGCTGACGCAAAATGTCTCCTTCACGGGCCAATCCCTCCACTTGACCTTGCCACTTCCTTGCCTCCTTGGTTGCGTCGTCTCGTTCCTTCCCAGCGGTTTCCAAGATGTTGGACATTTCGACGACAGCATTCTCGAGTCTACCGTGATCTGCACGAAGTTCATCAATTTCAGGCTTGCTGGCCTCAAGATCCTGGACCATCTCGTCTAGAGTCGATCTAAGCTCTTGGTTTGTCTTTTGCTCCATGGCCAGCGATGTCCGCATCTTGTCGTACTCGGTATACATCTGCGTCAGGGTGAGTCCTCCCTTTCCGCGCGACGCTCTAGGTGAAAACGCGCCCACTGGAGTACTGGGACGCATTGGGGTACTGGGCCCTGCGCCATTCAGCGCCGGGCTCATGGATCTCCTTCCAGCAAAACCATCGGATTCGAGCTGGCTGACCGTGAGCTCAAGCTCAGCAACGCGGCGCTCAGCAGCTTCTTTGTCGGCGTGTTCGGTTTCGATTTCCACTCGGAGACGGGAAATCTGCTCCGCAGCATCTTCTCTTGCTTTGTCCAGTGCGAGTTGACATTCCTTGGCACGCTGCTTCGAAGTCTCGGCAGCATTCGACTGCAATTCGGCCAGTCTACTTGCACTATCCAATTCAATTCTGAACGACTCGGTCGCCTTGATGGCGTCTTCTCTGAGCTGGTTGATGCTGGAAAGCGCTTCTTCATAACGCTGCTCCACCTCATCCAGGCGGCTCTTGAGGGCGTTCTCGCTCCGTCTCAAGGAGTCAACATTGGCACTGATCTCCTCATTTTCGCGTTGAAGCTCCGAAATCCGGGCGCTCTTCTCCTTGCGGAATTTCAGATACTCGGCGGACTTCGTCTTCAATTCCGTCTCAAACCACTCGTTGTTTTTCTTTGTCAATTCCAAATCCTGCTGGAGGCTCTGCTCACGGAACTTAGCGCTGGCGGAGGCAGAGTTTGCGGCCTGGAGGTTCTGCTCGGCGGTGGAGAGTTCGCGTCTCAATTCGATCGTCTTCTTGTGTTGTGTCGAGAGCTCCTCGGCAAGCTTGTCATAGGCTGCAGACTTGGATTCGAGGAGTGATAGAGTGTCTCGGTTGGAAGCTTCGAGCGACGAGATGCGAGATTTCAATGAGCTGGCTTCGGATTCGTTTGACGTGGAGGACGACTTGAGTGTAGCAATCTCGGATTCCAGGGTAGAGCGAATGTTTTCTGCAGAGCGTAAGTAAACGCGTAGTTGCGGGTCCGCATAGGAACTAACCGGACTCGTGGAGTTTCTTCCTTGTTTCCTCGACTTCGGCATGGCCCTTCTCGACCGAGCTCTTCAGGACCTTAATCTTGTTGTCTCTGGAGCGGACGGCATTATCTAGTTCCACCTCGAGGCGTATCTTATCAGACTTGAGCTCATCATGCTCGCGTGCTTTTGTGGTAATAGCTTCCAAAAGCTGATTGACTAGTTCGACCGTAGGAGCTGTGGTGAGGGTGCTCAAAGTCGACTCGGCAATGGCGTAGTGCGACGAAATAAACGGTAACTCAATCGTAGCAGCAGCCATGATTACCATGGGCTGTCCGCAGCGATAGCTGCTGGCAAATGAAGGGTAATGCTATATGACGACAAACAATGGACGAAGTGACGGAACAAGCCACAGTAGGTGAATCGGAATGGGTCTGCTGCGCGTTGAAAGAAATTCCCCTTAGCGAGAGCGCACAGCTTCCAGGTAGCAGACTAAGCCATGGAATAGCGCTGGGAATGATGGAATGGGCACTAGTGAAGGGGAGAAGATGAACAGGGCCCCGTTGCGCGATGAGATGTAACGAACGAGAGGCTCCATGGCTGGGCGGAGCTCTCGATATGGTTAGCGTATGTCAACACTCACGTGATGTCATGTCCGCCTCAGGCCGGAACGGGTGCATCGCAAAGTCTCAGGCGGCGATGACGACCTTCTTCCTTCTCTTTCTCTCCCCACATCCCCACTGATTCTATTTACCTCGTCTGTGAGGTACTCTTGATCTAGGGATTGTCCCCCGGGGTTGGCCCATTTCTCTCTGTTCTCATATGATATAACACAGCCTTTACCAGAGCTCCTTTGTGCTCTCACAAAGCGAGGCCTCGCCTCAATCTGGCTTCACTGCCCCCTTGGCCTCGATCTTCGTTCTACGTCTCCTTCTCAGGTGTAATCTAGGCACAGCCTTACCACCGCCAACATGTCGCATCTTCAACAGCAACTGAAGAGCTTCAACGCCGGTGTTATGGACTATGCAGCCCGCATGCCCCAACAGCGTCGTTTCGTGCACAACGCCAACAACACTTCAGCGAGCAGTTCCCAGCTTCCCTCCTCTACGTCTACACCTACTCCAAGCGACGATGCGAGACGCAAACGACACGATGCGGATATCGTTTACTCGCAGCCTGCCAATACCGGCACAGGAAAGGATATCATGACGCAGGTTGTCTTTGCGATCGAGCACATGAAGTCCAAGGGAATCCCGCTCAAGTTCGCCGATATTGTCTCCTACTTGTCCCTTCAACATCGGGCCAATGACCAAGGCTATGTTCAAGCACTGCGGAGCATTCTGCAGATGCACGAGAAGGTCCAGTACGATCCCAGCGGCGCAAACGGCGAAGGCACTTTCAGCTTCCGTCCCCCGCACAACATCCGTACTGCCGAACAGCTCCTCCAGAAACTCCAGTCCCAGTCGACTGGTGCGGGAATGAGTGTGCGCGAACTTCGCGAGGGTTGGCCCAACGTGGAAGACACGATCAACAAGCTCGAGAAGGAAGGCAAGCTGCTGGTCACTCGGAACAAGAAGGACGATCATGCCAAGATGGTTTGGGCCAATGATCCATCCTTGATTCAGCACTTTGATCCTGAGTTCCGTCAGATCTGGGAGAAGATCAAGGTTCCTGATCAGCAGGCTGTTAAGGAAGAGCTGGAAAAGGCGGGTATTTTACCTACCAACAAGAACAAGGTTGTCAAGGCCCGGCCGAAGATTGAGAACAAGAAGGTGAAAAAGCCACGGCGGAGTGGGAAGACCACCAACACTCACATGATGGGCGTTTTGAGAGATTATTCGCACCTCAAACGGTAGTGCTTGGTTTCGTCGCCTCCTGGTTCCGAAAAGTGTGCCACTGTCTTTTTGGTTTTTTTCCTGCTTGGGGCTTACATTGCATTATACTGGCGTTTGTAGGGGTATTAGACATGGGGTTGTTCTATGGTTACCTGTACAATTATATTAGCAAAATCGATACCCGGATAATTAAATGGTTATAGAGGCTTGTCCAGGTTTCTGGTTAGATGTTCTAATCTACTACTTCAGTAGGAAGGAGTGATATTATCTAGTTATGTTCAACATATGTATACATTCGATTGATATCCAAGCCAAAAGTTACTAATTCTATTGACGAAGCCAACATCCCTCCAACCGTGCACCCTCCATCTAGTAAGTATATACACCCAGCCAATTTTCGAGTTCATTTCCCCCTTGAATGCAACGAGGTCCATCCGGTCCCATGAGGTAAACCACGAAAGAGAGTGAATATGAAAGGTATGAAACAAGACAGTAGAAAGCACGCATGTTAAGATGCTCCACCAAGAACAATATGGAACAAGAAGGCGTGCAAGAGAGGCGACGAAGAGAAGAAATCATGTATGAGGAATCGATCAACACTCACTCACTCTCACTCAGTACCCATTAACAGCAGCAGCACCCTCCACCTTCTCAACATACTCCACCAGATCCTCAATCGTACACACCTTGATCCCCCACTTCTTCCCAAATCTCAAACACCCATCCCGTCTCATCATCCCATTGTTGCCTCCAATCTCCGGAACTCCCTGGACGACCTCTCCATCCTCCACAAGTTCTGCGATGACACCCGCCTGCGTCTTGCCCGCCAACCGACAGAACTCCACTGCCGCCTCAGTATGTCCCTTGCGTTCCCTAACACCTCCGGGTCTAGCCTGTAGCGGAATCACATGGCCGGGTCGTCGCAGATCCGCTGCCGTGGAGGTGGGAGATCCCAAGATCCGACAGGCAAGGGCGCGGTCCTGTGCCGAGATACCTGTTGTTATGGAGGGATCAGCTGCGTCGACGGAGACGGTATATGCGGTTCCCTTGGGATCGGCGTTCTCGGTAACCATTTGGGGGAGGGCGAGTCGGGCGGCTATTTCGGGGGTGACAGGGGCGCAGATCAGCCCACTGCTCATTCATCGTTAGCATAGATGATCTTGTTGAGTAACATTTGATATGCTGGTGGGGGGTGGGGGAGATGGGGGTTTCACCTTGTGTGGCGAACTAGGAAGGCCATTTGCGCCGGAGTGATGGAGTCGGCGGCGATGATGAGATCGCCTTCATTTTCGCGGTCTTGGTCATCGAGCACGATGATGAATTCGCCGTTCTCTGGTAAATTGGTGTGGTTGTTAGTTATATGGGTGTAGTATGTATGTGTCATGGGTGTGGTGGGATGGATTTGCCCCGCGCCGGCGCGGGTTGGAGGTTCTGGAGCTGGGTGACTCACTGAAGGCTGCTATTGTGTCCTCAATAGAGTCGAATTGAAGGGTTGGGTCCGAAGGAGAATGCATGTTGGCTGGTGGTTCGGTTTGGTTGTCTTGTATGAAGGAGGTGGTTGTCTTGGAGAATTGTTCCCCTCGTTGCTTTGCGGAATTGGAGGCGGGGCTGAGGGAATGGCTAAATGCTACCTTGAGGGTAACTGGATCCTCTGATGGAATGGGGAGATTGGTAGGTTTGGAATTGCTGGTGCTGTCCACGAATTGAACCCAGTTTAAGTGCGAAACCTCGAGGGTTTATAACAATTGCGCCGAGTACACTGTGCTTTGCGATTCCGTCGCGATCCTTGAGTGGGATGACTGTATCTTCGGGGCGGAGACTCGGAGGCTCGGATTCGGAGGACGCGGGGAGGGGAGGACAGAGGGGATGGGATTTCGCCTTTACTTTTGGAATGAGGTAATTGAAGGAGCTGTTTATGGGATATGGTAGAAATTATGTGTAACTGAAAGCAAAGAAGCAGAAGCGGAGCCCGTCAAAGAGACCGAGAGAATGGGAAGGAAAGGCAAAACCCGTGGGGGCTCACTAATGGTTTGTCAGAAGCCAGTCATCGCGGCAGGCCGAGGCCGTTGGAGATTATCGCCGCACCCGAGAACGACGGAACTAGGCAATTCATCGGACAAACGTAAGGGGCAAACGGGCAAGAAGACATAGTGTAATCTTGTATATTTGATCTAAAAAGGATCACTCGCAGTTTCTATCTAAGCACAAGGGTATCGCTACCATAACATCAAGCCCGAACTGGAGGTATATTCAACCAAACCAACGAATCATGCATGAAGGGGTACGTGCAGAATCTCTTGAAAAGACAAGTATGCGTTAATCAGATGCGCTTCATCTATTTCATTGGAGGGAAACATCATCTTCAAATCACAGCCCCAGTCCCCCCATCCGTCTCACTTCGTCGGCCTGCCTCTCCAGTGCCCTGCGCATCATCGTGGCATATTCATCTTCCCGCCGACGTAGCTCCCGCCGTTTATTCCGTCGCTCTTCACGCTCCGTTTCCCCGATATTTCCATCGAGAGTTACAGCATCATCTTCTTCGTCCGAATCTGGACCCATGTCCGGGAGGTTAGAGAAATGGACGCGTCCGATGTGTTCCCCTGTCCAGACAAGTAGTTCATCACCTGTCAAGCTGCCGCCGGTTGGGAGAATCTTTCGAGCAACTTCACCCTCGCTGCGAGACCGCGATAGGCTACCCCATAATCCGAATGTCTGTTCTTCCTCTTCACCGTTGGTATCAGCGTTGCTTCCCAAATGAGTGGACGTTTCCCCATTGCGCTGTGGGTAGTATCTTCGCTGCGGTTGGTATGAATTAATGTTCAGGCGCCGAACTTCGGAACGTCCATCACGCTCAACCCATTTGATATTTCCGTCTGCATCGGAGTAGACGATACGGGTCCCGTGTGATTCGACTGAGAGCACCTTGGATCTAGCGACACTCTGCCGATTTTGGTATACTGTAGACAGGTTGGACGAGCAGCCCGATGGATCGCTCTTGGCGTTGGTGTTGGAGGGAGTGAGATTGTAGAGCTCAAGAGAACCCCGCCCTTTGTAGTCACCGCAGGCCACCAATTTGTGGGACGCGGGAAATTCAGAGTTGGGAGAGACAGGGAATCGCGGCGCCGGAACAGCAGCAAGTCCGCAGAGTTGACCACCAGAATGAATTGTGTTCTGAAGCCGTGGGAAAAAGCGACGGTCATACTGCAAGATGCTTGGGAAACGACCAGCGAGGAAGATCGAGTTCACGTGCGGTGCGGGAGGGTGTAGAAGCGAGAGAGGTCCTGGCTGGAATAAGGGTGCATAGTTGTCACTGTTCTTTGAGAGATCAGGGCTTCGTATCCGGTGCGGGGGTTGTCCGTTCGGTTGTAGCTGCAAAAGTGGTGAATCGGGCGGAGAATAGATCTCAGATTTAGGGACCAGCGAGACGGTCGGCTCCTCACAACGTAGAGTGATAGCCTCCTGCTCCTCCGTCGCTGACATTCTGCCATCGTAGATGTGAAGACTCAAAGTGGTAGCCACCGTCAACGGTACAGAATAATCCGTCTCCTGGGACAAGGCAAAAACGGACCAAGGGAAGCGTTGTTGGGAAATAACAGTGAGACTTTCGAGATCTACCTCGTTTAGAATATTCCCGACAGCCAGGTAGGCCCTCCGACGCATAGAGTCTACGCTCACACATTCTCCCAGATTCACGAATTCCAAGGCTTGCTTTGCTCCAGAGTTGTCTCGTCTGCCAAACCGGTTGGCCATCAATATTCCCGGCGAGCTGACTCCAAGAACCTTACCCTTGGTGCTCTGGGATCCAATCGAATGCGAGTGATTGAGATCCCAAATGCAGACACTACCGTCATCAAGGGGCGCAACGACTTTGTTCTGTCGAGCAGTACTCCAATCCCGGAGCAGTCCCATTCCTTTGACCTCTCGGTATTCCCTTTTCCCACCCTGTGATACCCTGGTGAAGGGTTGCTGCATCCAACTAAGTGAAATGGGGCCATTTCGAGCAATGTACTCCGAGTACCAGTTCACCTCCTCCCCTTCGTAAGACGGGTCCCACGACGCCGCCGCTCTGGATCTTTGCCCATAAGACGGCGTTTGATCCAAGCCGCTTGTTTTACCATCTCTTAGCCCAACAGACGCGCCTGGCTGTATCAGCGATCGAAGCGAAGTTTGGCCTAATGAGCTGAGGGAAGCCGTGGAGTTGGTGAGTAGGCTCTCGGAGGTCTTGTTGGTAGCGGAACGCAAGGCTCCGGAAGCGCTCCATGACTCTTCGAAGCAGTGGAGTCTCCAGAGGTTGTTATCCCGGGCCACGGAGAATAGCCGCCTCGAGACGGACTGAAGTTGTACCCGCTCGTGTGGGGTGAGATCTAAGGGTGCGTCAGCTAATGCTAATGAAGGTCTAGCACATGGCATGAAACCGGTGATGTGGGGTAACCTGGACCCTGGAAGAAATGGGGGCAATCATCGTACAGTCAATAATCTCGCAGAGGATCTCTACGGGGAGTTTCTCCATGGGTGAGACTGGGAAAAGAGAACCATTGAGGGCCAACGGGTCTGACTCATTTAGCTTGTGCGACGGAGGGTGTAAGCAAAGGCCATAACTGTTTCTTGGGGATGAAGCTCCATTTTATCCCCCCACAATCCGCAATCTAGACCGTCGTCACGTGGGGGATGCGCAGTCCGACAAGCAACAGTTCAGTCTAGCATCGCCGATCAACTTCACACGTAACTGATAAAAAATTGCTAAGGCATATAGGAAGGCTTATGTGGCTTACGTAGGTTGGTCTAGAAGTTCAATTGAATTATTCTGCCCTGTAACCTAAAAGCTCTTGTTGCATTTGGAATGCCGGATACTACATTCCAGCGCTATCATAGGCGGATTACTAGTCCTATATATAGCAAAGTTACACCGCACGGATTCTTGATGATTCTTGAAATTTCCGAAGGCCTTCCATTCTCTTGACACTCATTCGATTTGAGTCAAAACACTAATATCAACTAAGAGCCAGAACCTGATAAGCAGCCAAAACCTTTTCCTTCCCTACCCAATCCTTACCCAACCGTCATTAATGGCATTACTCGTACATTAACCGTCAGACGCGATACCAGGCAATAACAGCAATAATATAGGCGCCTGGTCGAGGTGCATAAGCATGTATCCTGGCTGTATTTCTAGCAGTCAGGCTTGTAGACGGCGTCCTTGCAAAGCACGGCCACCTTTTTGAAGAAACGCCGCCATTCCAGCGGATCGCCCTTCACCTTCATAAACTCAATCTCGAATAGGCCCTCGGAGACACATTCGATCAAGACTTTACCCTGCAAAGTGCACATCCTCCCATCCCGAGTTACGATACGAAGCATTGCGGAAGTGTCCCCTGCGGAAACGGCGGGAACCGCAGGAACCGGAACCCCTAAACGATGCAAAGCCTCGCAGATTAGAGGCACTAGAATCTTAAGCTCCCACGTAGAGAAGAATCGTGTCATGGGACGAGAAGGCACGATATCATGGAATCGCTGCGCTTTCTGCGTCCGACTCAGGGGTACGGACGGATGAGGCGAGAATTGTGACATTGACGGCTCATCCTCTAGATGGTCGAGGGCCGACATGTCGTCGGCAGAGAACGGTCGCCCCAGGGGTTGTGTTGATGAGAACGCATCCGCCACTTGCGGGGTATCCCAGTCGACCAGCATATCAGTCCTCGGCATCTCCGGCTGCGTTGATGAAATCCTTTGTTCAGCATCAATCCCATCACCCAGATCGATATCCATTCGACCCCCACCAAAACTACCCCCATGGGGTTGAGCGAAAGGATCTTGGGAAAAGTCGATATGGAGTGACTCAAACATGGTTGTAGCTAAGTTGATCGGATCCCTTAATGTGCCATTTCGGGATAGGTATTTGTTCGGTCGGGTATACCAGGGATGTCTCCGAACGTCCTCCAGGGAAAAGCGGTTAGAGGGGTCGATGTTCAGCATTCCACGTAGTAGCGAAAGAGTCTCTATAGGCAATTGCTGCCAAAGCTCATCAGATGTGCGTCCATTTGTTGCGATGTATTCCTGAAATTCGTAACTGGTCTCTGTCGGACTATCCCACGGGGTGTTTCCAGCCAAGAGGACAAACAGGACGATTCCGCAGGACCAGATGTCCACTAGGTCCGGTCGGTAGCCTGCACCTTTCATCATATGTTTGCTACTGCAAGATATCACCTCGGGTGCAATATATGGAGGACTCCCACAAAAAGTTGTAGACAATTTCGTCACGCCCTTGTACTCGAATAACGTGGCTAGCCCAAAGTCTGCGATTTTCAGGTTCCCGTCGGCTGTCAACAGCATATTTTCCGGCTTGATGTCGCGGTGACCCACGCCCTTCGAATGCATATAACCCACGGCACTTATCAGTTGCGAGAAGTATACATGCGCGATGTCCTCGCCAACACCCTCGTCAGCCTCGATCTTGTCGAACAGATCACCACCCTCGGCCAACTCCATCGCGATCCAACGCCAGATGTCATCTTCCCCAGTTTGGAAGAATGAGATTATATTGTTATGATCCCCGATATGCTTGTGGACTGTCGCCTCCATTTGTAGCTGACGCGGGCTGACCTTTCCATGACGGGCGGCGTACTCTTTATGGATGAACTTGACTGCGAAAACGGGATTGTCTGTGTAGGTGGGGACGGCCTTCTTGATGCTGCGCCGTAACTCTTCGTCAGCAGATGCTTGAGATTATAAACATCAGAGCACAATCGATGAAGTCAATCTTACCAAGCGTAAGCACCCTGACCAATTGTTTTGGAAACGATGCGAAACGGCAAGTCATTCGGCAGCGGGGCCAGCTGAGAGTGGTGCATGTTGACGAAGATTCACGAGAAGGACCGAATATGACAGATCAACTGAGATTCACAGATCTTGTCATTTAGGGGGGAAGTCAATATTGAGCCATGATCGTGTGACGGTGGCGAGTATCAATGCAAGGGCGATGGAAGGAGAACGAAGCTGAAGAGAACGCGCTGGGCGGAACGCGAGAGCCACTTTATCCTCTTTGGGTAATCTGTTGATCGGCTGCCTGGCACAGCCTTTAGTGGACCCAACATGATGAATAGAGAGGAAGGGGGATATCTCGACAGAGAAATGGAATCAAAGATCAGTAAGACAGGAAAATAGTTGAAGTTATTTGACTTGAGTGAGGAATGCGAAGACCAGGAGAGATGCAGCTACGAGCATTATATCGACTACTTGACCGCCTGATCTGCCCTGGACTTAACAGACACACTGGCCACGCTGCTTTTGCTGGCTTGATCTGGACCCGCAGCAGCCAATAATGAAGTCCAACTGTAGGGAAGAGATCCGGAGTCGCACCGAAACGACACCACAATTACTTTGTATGAACTTGCATCGACACTGGCCAGTATTTCACTTAACCGAAAACAAAAGTAGAAGAATTGGAGGGAAAATGGTGCATCATCACTTCTTCTCCTTACAAGAACCTTGAGATCCCATCACGGGAGAGAATCACTAGAAAACTGAGTTTCGCGATGACAAAATGACTAGCGACTCACGATAACTTCCCAAGTGTGACGGATGAAGATGATCTGGACCGGTCATCTGGTGGAGCCCCAAAGAATCAGTTGGCGGCGGCGTTGCCGGGCGGATGGCCGAGTAAACAATGAAAGACCGAACATCCCCTCCATTATTGTCAACCCGACATGAACCCACTTTAATTCTTCCTCCCCCCTGCTTTCTATTTCTCTAGGATTTCGAGCTTGACTACTTCAGTGATACTGGTAGACAACAATTTTCCATTCCTCCACCTCTTTTTGCCTAACGTTCCATCAAGGCTTGTTCTGAGTTCACAGCATCCGGGGATTCATCGGGTGGGTCAATCCGCTTCCCCTCCAGCCAACTGTCCCGCTGCATTCGGAGCCAGCGTCATTCCAGACGAACCCTCTTCTTCTTCCTCTTCCTTTCTCTTCCTACCGATTACGACGGTCCGTTCAACTCTACCTGGCATTCCTCCCATCCCGGAAACTCTCGTCATCGTCTCTTCCTCTTAAACCGACCGTTGCTTCCGCTATAACCCCCGATCTCTTTACACTTCTTCATAATGGACTACAGCATGGAAGACACACAGAACTCGGCTCCTGACGCCCACGAGGCGTCCAAGCTCAACTCGTCAGCCCAGAGAACCGACATTCAGAGCGTCACCAAACGGTTCGTACTACGATGCTGAATGCAGCCTCCATAATCACTTACATTTCCTCTGGAATCTTGCATACTGATTATCATTCTATCTCGCCAGCCTCCAAGCCGAGCTGATGCAGCTAATGCTCTCCCCCTCTCCGGGAATCTCGGCCTTCCCTGACGCCGACGGCAACCTCCTCTCCTGGACTGCCACTATCAGCGGACCGGCTGAAACTCCTTACGAAGGACTTACTTTCCGTCTTTCCTTTGCCTTCCCCAACAACTACCCTTACGCTCCCCCTACTGTTCTATTCAAGACTCCCATCTACCACCCTAATGTCGACTTCTCCGGCCGTATCTGTCTGGACATCCTGAAGGACAAGTGGAGTGCCGTCTACAACGTGCAGAGTGTTCTCCTTAGTCTGCAGAGTCTTCTGGGTGAACCTAACAAGTAAGACGAAACCACATCGCAACGTTCCGACCGTTCATGCTAACAGCTACTTAAGCGCGAGCCCTCTCAACGCCCAAGCTGCTGAGCTCTGGGACACCGACCAGGAAGAATACAAAAAACACGTTATGGCCCGGCACCGCGACATCGAAGACATCGAGTAATTGGTTCGTCCATAATCGTCGTCGTCCGTTCGGTTGTTCCCGCAGACATGGGACGGACCGACTTGCATTGCATGAGATCGGGGTCTGTGCGTTTCATTTGGGGGCAACGGTTGCATGGTGCATTCTAATCTTCGTCGTAACGAAGTCATGAGTTCAGCACCGATGATTTTTCAGGAGTTTATGCGTTCGGGGAATTCTCGTTTGGGACCACAATTGGAATGGAAATACAGGAGCCCGCGTGTCCCGGGACAAATACCCTGCTTTGATTTTACATTCGTTCTTATTATTACCTGCACATGATGTTGGGTTCGTTGGTAGCTATTACGTAGGCAATCACTGAACAAAGAGATAGCTTCCATTGTATTTTCGATCAATATAAGTGTTGACATTTTCTATACTAACCTAAGTAGCAGAATACATAGGAGCTACTATCGCCATCGCCAGGGTGAAAAGTAACCCTGCCGACAATATATCCACCATAACCGGGACTATTAAGGCACGACAGGAAGGTCTTTTGCGCTAGAAGAGTGTCCTCCACAAGCAAGCACAGCAAATACTGGAGAGTAAACAAATAAACAACCCATGATCCATTGTTCTATCGCTATTTACTCACCCCAATGTTACTTTCCTAGACAGTACTTAGTGTCACGGAGTACACATAGTACTACATAGCTACAACTCCAACCCTCTGCAATAAGTAGTACTAGAAAGATAGCTGCTGCCCTAACTAACATCTCATCGTCTCTTAATCCAATTCATTGAGCTATGCTACAAACTAATCCACAGCCCAGAGACTGTTAAGAGAGTGAAAGCATCAGCACCTTCCTAAAGCAGGTGAAGAGCGGCGACGTCTTCCGGACTTGGCAAGCCCCTCGGAGATCTTCCTCATACATCTACTTTACACGCAAACAGACAGCTAGAGAAAATACCAATTCGACGTTACTCCTTTTATCCTCTTGCTGCAGAAGATCAACTGCCATCCCAAACCGAATAACTGCGAACACAGCTCAATCTGGCACATTGTTGTAACTCTCACTTAGGTAAACATAACGCTAGATCTACTACCCGCAGCACTCTAAATAGCAATCATTCCTGCAATCGCCGCGCTCATAAGTGTGCTGATCGCTCCTGTTATCATTGCACTAACCGCCACGCGAGATACATCTCCTGCCCGTTCGGGAGCCAGCTGTGCCAGAACTCCGATCTGGTTTCCTAGGGAGCCGATGTTCGCGAATCCGCAGAGCGCGTACGTGGCTATTAGTCTTGATCGCGGAGATAGAGATTGGTATTGCGGTTCGGTTTGGAGGGCTGAGTATGCTATGAATTCGTTCTAACGGTTGTATCCCTTGTTAGAGGTAGGTTCTGGGTATTGGAGAATAAGCTTACCATGACAAGCTTCATGCCGATTAGTTGTGCTACTTTCAGGAGGTCGTCGTCCCGGGAAACACCCAAAAGGAAGGAAACAGGGTAGCAGATATACCCCATAATGAGTTGGATCGTCAAAGGAGGATCGTTGATATTCAGGTAGCATCCCCACCAGGTGAGAAGACCGTTGGCTAGACCGACCAGAGAAATGATACAAAGTAGGTTGGCGGTGATCATGCCTGCGATTTTGATACCCATCCAGGCGCCATTGGCAAACGCGTGAAGGGCGTTTGCGGCTTGATGCTCTTCGTCTTCCGGAACGGTGACATGGCCTGCTGTGAGGGTTTCTTCTTTTTCGGGCCAGCGTATCTTGGATGCTGCCAAGGAGGCGGGGATGCTCATGACGCAGGAAGATACAAGGGCTTGAGGATTGACGCCCATGCCAATGTATGCGATGAGACCAGAGCCGGCGATGGTGGCAAATCCAGAGGTCATAATTTGATGAATTTCCGCCATGGTCAGGTGCGGTACAAATGGCCTTATAAGCATGGCTGATTCCCCCTGCCCGATGAACGGGGAGGCCGCTGCAACAACCGCTTCTGCCCCGGACACACGCATCGACCAGAAAAAGAATGTCGCAAATTTGCGAACGAACCATTGTAAGATGCCGGCATGATATAGGAGCTGCACAAGAGATACAAAGAACATAATTGCGGGGATAACACTGACGATGAACCATCCTTTGTGTTTCTCAGCCCAGCCTGTCTCGATGAGGAAGTCGACACCTTGCTCTGCGAACCCCAGTAGTTTCTGGGCCAGTGTCGATATGAAGTTAAAGATGTCGTATCCCGCCCGTGTCCGCAGGACGAATAAAGCCACAAGGAATTGAACCAACATGCCGACGATGACGGTATGCCAGACGATATTCTTGCGGTCCCGAGAGAAAATCCATAGGATGAACAAGAAAACGATCAGCCCGAATAGGCTAACTGCTCTGTCGGCTCGCGTGTTTTCTGGTGTATCCGCAGAGACGAAACAACCGATCATAATCACGGCAATTGTCGTTATCGCTGCTCCTGGTATACGAAACCTTGGAGGCACATGGCTCACAATACGTGAGACGGTCTGTTTCCAGATCCAGAATACCGGTCTAGTGAGCACAGAGATGGGAAGATAGAGAAAGAGTATACGAAGTGTGATAGCCAGATAGACGAGAAAGGGGATCAACCATCCTAGGTCATCACGGTGAAGGATAAGCCCCGCAACCCACCACCTGGTGATTAGGAATAGGTGAGCTTGCAAATCTATGGGGTTAAAAGTGCAGCAATTAAGCTCACCCTGTGAAAAGTATCAGAATTCCAGCATATGCCACATGCCTGGGGTACCTGGACATGCAACGCCGATATTGTTTCCGAGGAGTGTGGCTTATGTCGGCTTCTTCGATATCATTTTGTTTGCCCTGATGTTCTTCTGTGGGTAGCTTCTTCATGTCTGGGGCACTGATATCATCGCCACGGGGGATTTCTGAGTTACCTGCATGAACACCTGCAGTCTCATTCGAATCGCTGCAAGCCTGTGACATGATCGTGGTCTTCTGGCTAATCGCCAGGGCTTTTTCATCTGCCGTCATCTCTGGGGTACTAACTTCTCGGGGAGGAGACGGTGAATTAGTCACGGATCCAAGGGATAAGAGACTGTCCCATGGTGCATCTGCAGCTTCTCCTAAGGTATTTGCGGGGGGGATGGCACGCGAACCGAAGGTGTCTTATGGTGGGCTTACGGTGAGACACGTCTAATCAAGAATGATGAGAACTAAGCAGCCTATGTTGCTCCGGCCATGATCAAGCCTCGAGGTTGTACAACGTGGGTCAAAAAGCTCTATCGACGGGCAAGACGCATTATGCCAGGGATGGAGTCGCGGCCACTCCGGCGGTCTACCCTTTATACTTTCTCGTCTTTGTGTCACCTGGGGCCTTTGCTGCTTGCTGTCACTGGCCGTGTATCCAGGGACGAGCATCTGTGCGGGGTGTCCTCTTTCATCCAGGAAAGTGTGCGGAGTAGTGTAAGTTTATTGATGACGACTGAGCAAACTGTTCTATCTTGCCTTCCGGCCATTAGCCTAATCCTAACTCTTTGCGCTGAAGGGGCTAGCTAATATGCTTCTTGATGACATCTCTATGACCAGTCACATGGCTCACTATTGCATCGACCTGCAATGCTTTCCATGTTGAGTTTATGGGCATTCAGTTGTAGCTCGAATACAGTCGGTCTGATTGGCTGGAAAAGGTGTGGTCTGCGCCGTATCTTGGTTCTACTAGTATGCGTGCTGCATCAGAACAATAATCCTGCAAATCCTGTGGACACTATTGCCTTACCACTATAATTTTGCCTTGTCTTTTTCGATGTTTGCTTTTTGCTTAGAATTTCACTTGGTCCCGGTGACGAATGTTGTTACAAACTCTTAATTTTTAAAGCAGTGGCGGAAAGACACAGGCTTCCTACTTTTGACCTCCTCAAGACTTTTTTAGTATCGAAGAGTGCGAAATGTTTTCCAGTGGGGTGCCACATGGCAGAAAACCTTTCGCAATTGCTATGGATGTCCCATACGTTTAGCCATGACTCCTAGTCATCCACCTGGCTGGCTACCATTGATCAAAACTCGGAGAAATGTGACGTTGCAGCCTAAAATTTCATCACAGAACCATATAAAAGATCAGTACGCTTGACTAGGGCCTGACAATGCTATGAGAAGCACTTGGAGAGAATAAAACAAGAGATCCAAGCACTTGATTATTCGGTCTCCAGAAAGCAGTGGGAATAAGCCAAAATATTGTGTTTCCCGTTCATCTTGTCTGATTTCTGGACTCTCGAATCATCGATCTGCGAATTATATGTTCATGGCTAACAGTTTTGCTAGCGGTTTTGAACACCGTATGCAGGAATAGATGATGCATGGCCTGCGAGTGCTTAGAACTCGTGGTATCCTTGGCGTCTGGACGCCCTGATCGTGGGCAAAATAATTATATGTATGGTACTTATGGACACCTTCTCTTTCGCGAAACAGTAGTTGACTCCATTTGCTTCTATTTAATATATCAATTTTTGGTGATTTTAGTTCCTACGACCTCTGCGGCAGTTATATATATTCATCCCCGACGCTAGTAGATGATACTGGAGAAAAGAGGGAGACTGGGACATCACTCGACAGCAGAACGGACGCTACACTGGAACAGAGCCCAGAGCTCACATGGCGTGTTTCCTGCAAGTTGCACTTTGTCTGAATGGCTTATTCCCGCATGCGGTCTGCGACACTTGAAACGTTACATTGAGGGAAACGGCAAGCGGGTAGGAGCAAGGAAAGTCGTTGTACTGTGAGACGGGGATGTACAACCTGACAGCAAGACATGAATGCTACTAGATATATATTGCCGTTGACCACCACAGTACCAGGGTGTATATGTACTACATTCAATGGATCCTGGAATTATTGGAACGTGATCAGTGTGGGATACACAAAGCAGAAACCCCAAAAAGATCGACCGGCCGGTGCAGTGGACGCAACCGGTACACATCAGCGACCGCATCGGTATACCCTTTTAACGACCATTCAATTACAGCAGAACAGTTTTGACTTGACTGGGTCAAAAATTAACGACGCGACAGACTGCTTGTGTGCATGCAAGAAGGAAGACAAAAAGGTCGTGCCCGGGATCGAACCGGGATTGCTGGAATCAGAATCCAGAGTGATAACCATTACACTACACAACCTGTTGTTGTGATAAACGGGTTACTTTCTAGTCTTACAAGCTAAAGAATTCAGAAAATCAAGAAACAAGGTCGTGATATGACCTCATTGTTTTCGCCAGCTCAAGGTACCTGAATCGACTCTACCCCGCTAATCTGTTTCACACATGCTACAATATGCATAGTTCACACAACATGGAGCCGCAGTCGAATGAGGAGTGGCAAATTGAGGAGGGCATCCCCCAAGTTGAAGATCCATTTATCCAGCAATATCTGCGGGGTCGGAGTTCGCTTATTCTGGAAGAACAAAAGCAGCGGCATGGTGGGTAGTATCACGCTCAACATATTTACTTGGACTTGGCTAATCAACGATACTAGATAGCAACCTTACTAAGGCTTTACCGCCAACAGCTGCTAGAGCTTGCAATATTGTCGCCAGAATCCGCGACCGGGAGCTACATCAGCTTTCTTCTTTGTCGGGTTTAGATGATGCTCGCTTTCCCGAGGCCAAGTCCCTGGATTGGGATAGGGTGCAGGAGACAAAGCTGTGGAGAATCATCAAGGCGATGCCTAAAGGATCTTTGTTGCATGCTCCGTTACATGCCATGATCAATGCGGACTTTCTGATCGATGTGGCCTTCGCTACCCCGGGAATGTGTGTCTTTGCAACGCAGCCTTTGATATCCCAGAGTGACTTGGATGAGAAGACATTTGCCTTCCAATACTCATTGGCGGCATCGAAAGACTTGGAAGACGGACCTACTGTGTGGTCGTCTGCGTACGAGCCCTCAAGTCCCATCCCACTGAGAAAGGCGGCCTCTTCTTTTCCGTACGGGGGAGAGGATGGGTTTCGTGACTGGCTGCGAAGCCGATGTATCCCTCAAGCGGGGCGTGCGAATTATCATAGCCGTGCGATGCCGATTGTGAATTCTCTGCTCAGCTATGAGCCTATCCTGCGGGCATGCTTGCGACATGTATTTGCTCGGCTTCAGAACGATGGGATCAAATACGCGGAGTTCAGGACGACTTTTACTTTCCCATATCGCAAGGAAGGGAAGGATATCCCCGAAGAAGGTCATAGCGATTGGTGCCACGTGTTTCAGGAAGAGCTTGCACGTTTCCAAGGGACGCAGGAAGGGCAAGGGTTTTACGGAGCGCGGATTATATGGGCCTGTCCCGGCTCATTGTCGAAGCGAGACATTGTTGAGAACATGAAAGATTGCATCCTGGCAAAGTATGATTATCCCGATACGATTTGCGGATTTGATATGATAGTGGGTAAGGATGATCAGCACTCGCTCACTGATCTGGTTCCCATACTATTTTGGTTTCGCAAAGAGTGTTCTGCAGAGGGCTTGGATATCTCTTTCTGCTTCCACGCTGGCGAATCCCTGAGAACTGGGGGAGACCAAGGTTTGTTCGATGCTATCTTGTTGGGCGCGCGGAGGATATGCCAAGGGCTCTCGCTCAGCCAACATCCATTACTGATCGAGCTGATCAAGGAGAAAAAAATCCTGATTGAGTGCAGCCCGCTCTCAGATGAGATCCTTGGACTCACCGACAGTATTCAAACGCATCCTCTACCTGTCCTATTAGCTCGTGGTGTTCCTGTATCTCTTGGTATTAATGCGCCGGGCTTGCTCGGTGAATCAAACGACCTGACCCGACAGTTCTGGCAAGCGCTTCAAGGGATTGACAGCATGGGTCTTACGGGCCTTGCAATGATGGTGGAGAACTCCATCCGGTGGAGCTGCTACCAAGACCAGCCATCGGCGGAGTGGCAGTCCGATCTTCGGGAAGGGATCTTGGGGGAGGGGACGAAGGCTAGCCGTTTGCAGGAATGGTATGCAGAGTTTGAGAAATTCTGCCAGTGGGTTACAGAGGAATTTGCGGAGGCGGAAGGTGAAGAGCAAGACTGAATTATGCCACATTCCACCCATAGTGTATCCGTCAACAGCCATTCCCCAAAGTTGCATTAAACCTTCATAATGAAGGGGTACGCTTAGTAATGACATAGCGGTATGCCGAGATGAATAAGCAGAACGTGCTCGTTATGCAAAGCAACAACGCTTGCAGCTTTTCAGGAGAACATTGCCTCATCGCAGCAGTCGTTAGTTTGACCGGTCGCAGGTAGAGTGGAATTTAATGTAGACTAGACTAGAATATGATCAGCGTCCTGGTGAGCAGAATCATGTCGGCTGCTGCTTGCTGCATGATTTATTGTGTGGAGGTTAAACTCCAGAAGAGTGGATGATGGACTACTCCACGAGCCAGTGCGATAAGGGGGGACAAAGGAGAGAGATTCTGCAGCAGGATGGCCGTTGATTTTGTTTCTTCTTCATCTTCGATAATATCTTGAATATTATTTACTTTTTCTTCCACTCTCGTGGTAAATATTGAGTTATTATTTTCCGTTTTATCACCGTTAGGCCGAGGCTAAAATAAACAGTGTCGAGAAGTCCACCAGACACCGAACGAATCGCTCATTTGCCATGATTCAGCTGGCAGTTGCTTGCCCGGCATTTGCACTTCAGCCAGCTGTTCTGGACATTTTCCCGGAGCCGAGTGCTCATCCTCTGGTTGACAATTCAAAACCCTCCATGAGGCGATAAGTTCGACGTAAGTGTGAGTTGTCATGGTGTGATTTGGGGAGGCCCGGCCCAAGCTCCGCCTGACTATTGCGGTTGATCTTCGCTATCTCTCTCCTCCTCCACTAGCGCCTACATCCCCGAACGTCATCCTTCCCTCCGGCACCTTCACCAAACCCTCCGCATTTGTTCCCCCCGACACACTTGTTGTGCTGGTGCCTGTCCCAGGGAGCAAGGCATCTCTCAACTCCCCGATCGTCTCTTTCTTGTCCTTGTTGCCTTATTATGTTTTTGCTCAGATGACAGTTGCCATCTTCAAATGAGCCCCCGCCGGCTCCTTTGCCCCCCCACAAAATGGCCTACTTCTTGCCGTCGTTCTTCCAAAAGCGATTGCTCCGATATGCGTTATCTCGTCTCGGCCTTGTCGATACAGAGGCCCTTGACCTGGACAGCCTGGGTATTCGCTGGGGACAACGAAGTACCGTGGAACTACGAGATATTGGGTTGAGGCTGGATGTAAGTGCACTGATCGTGCCCCCGATGAGCTTAGCTAGCTTCCCTGGCTCTCAATCCGCTGCTGTTCCCCGCTGGGTTTTCGGACATCCGGCATGTGCTAATCAGAAAAACTCTATATCGAAATAGAAATTAGCTACGCTTCTTCACCTTCCTCCTTCAAGTGAGCTCGTCAGCGCCCGGGTTCGTTTCCTGAAGATCACCGTCCCCGCGGATATCTACAGCAGCGGCATCGTCTGCCAGGCCAGCGGCATCGACGTCCATCTGAGACTACTTTCCGACGACTCTCGCCATGCTGGACAAGGCGACAGACCAACGGGGTCTGGCTCTGGCCATGACCCTGCCCCCGATCCGATCATCCCTAATCCGACCGACCTCGCTCAATCGTTCCTCCAGGCTGAACCAAAGGAGGAAAAGGAAGAACTGAAGGCTGCCATATCATCTCAATCTCAGGTCCTTCACCGTACATCCACATCAGGCAGCGATGATGAAGAGGAGCTTGGCTACGGCAATGAGGGCGTCTCGTTGCCGAGTTTCGTTGCTGCGTTCCTCAAAGGTGTCGCAGACCGTCTGCAGGTCCAGGTGGATGACATATCCATCCGAGTCGACATGGAGACGAAACAGGATGCACCATTAAAGAGGCAACCGGAAGATAAGCCTGACTTGGTCACGGGGTTACTGACTGTTGGACAAGTCAAGGTGGATGCTGTGTCTTCGCCATCGAGTGAGGATGAGACTTCCTCACGGAATCAGCGACGGCTGATCTCGTTGTCTGACATCAACGTCGCCTTGGTGTCGGAACCTGTCGTTTTTTCTAATTACTCAAGGTTCACTGTCCCGATATCTCCAGAGATCACGTCTCCAGAGAGTCCTTTGCAGCCAAAGCCGAGCCCTCCCCCGAGCCATGTTTCGTCCCCGCCATCTGAGCCCGCGTCTGAAGAGGACACCGCACTGGACTTGACAAGGTCGATACTCTTCGAGCCATCTCGTGGACTATCAGAATCAAAGATAATAGAACAATATGCGCCCGAACATGCGCCCGAGATGGAAGGATCTGTGTGCACCTACGACGGCAGATTTTCTGACGCCGACACGGAGGAGGAAACCAGGAGTTATGGTTACATGGGAGAGTCGCAGAACCTACCGGTTGACGATGAGATACTGGACAATCCTGCGTATCTTGATTCTGTGATAGATTCGCATCTTCATGATGATGAGCTTGATGGCACTGATCATTTTTCACCGGAAGTCGGTCACCATATTTTGGGCAATGAAGATACCCCGCGCCTTCGGACACCAGAGTTGCACGCCGCCGGATCAGCATCACACTACAGTGATACACAGAATGCTATGATCCTTGCGCCCAGGTCACAGGTACCAGCTGTCACTAGCTTCGCACAGGATCACCTACAACATCCTGAAGCGGTTGATGTTCCTACTCGACCAGCCTTGCCCGCGATGGGGCTAGAGGTTACGCAAGATCCCCAGCCGTATGCTGATAACCAACCATCGCCTGTTACCTCTGTACCTCCTTCCGAAGCGAGTAGTTCAAGCTCAACATCCGGATCTTTCAACCAGGACGAGCTTTCCGAGTCCAGGCTCTTTTCTAACGAGGAGGCACAGAGTATGTACATGAGTGCCATAAGTCATGATTCTATGTCAAGAAGCTTCATGCCAAATATTCCCGGTGCCTGGGATTCCCCGGAATCCACGGTAGTCAGGGACTCACATGCTCATGTGCACCATGGAAACGGGCCCGATGTACATCATATGGACCAGGATCATGATGATGAGACTGCTGCCACCCCTAAACTAACTCCGCAGGCAGGATTGCATATCTCGCAGGAGTGCCTTATAGATGATTCTCCCGAGGCACAACATGAGCTCACTGACAAAGAACGTTCTCAGGATTCATCAGGCCTGAACAAATTCTCTGACGTCGCAAGACGGTTCTTTAGCATCGACAAGGTCGTCATTTCCATACCTTCCGTGGATGAAGATGGCGACAGCGCAGATGACACCCCATCTGCGTCCTACACTGAAGAAGAAACTAGCGGCCTGGAGGAGACGACGGCATGCTTGCGTGAATCAGCAACTGAAGACTACTTTGTGCCGCCTGGCAGGAAGGCTTCTACACGAACTCGCAGTGATACGATCAGACCGGCCTCATACGGGCACGAGGCCGCCGAAAAAGCTTCTCGGCCTTCGCAGCATGATGGGCAGACACAGTCTAAGCGGAGCCCGAACGACTTGGAGGTTGAGATATTCTCTGCGGAACTCCAATTCGACATCGCCATCGGCTGGCTCGTGCTCAAGGTTGGACACAAGATTCTTAATGCTTTCAGCAATGACAGCGAGGTCAGCCAGGACATGAGTCAGCCGCAAGAGCAGAAGCGACAGGCTATCAAGTTGGCTCTTCGCAACCTTGCCATCAAATTTGTCGAGCATGTTCCCGGATATTCATACCCTGCCGAAACAGACAGCTCGCCATTCTTCGGTCTGCTGCATAACGATATTTTGTTGCAGACATGTCTGTCGGGCCTTGAAGCTCAGCTTTCAATTGACAAAGACATTACGAAGCTCCATCTGAATATCAAAGGGTTTAGTCTCGGGTTCGCCTCTGAACACTTAATATCGTTCAGCGAGAATTTCAAGATGCGCGATTCCGTTAGAGACGTCCTGTCAGCCGAGCAAGGGGATATCGATCTGTCTATCACAAAATCACCTGATTCCACCACTGTAAACCTCATGACACTTCCTTTACAGCTAAACTTGAATATCCAGCGACTGGAAGAGGCCATAGGCTGGTTTGGGGGGCTGAGCACGATATTGGAACTTGGCAACTCGATCTCATCGGCGTCATCTCCGAAGGGGCCGAAGAAGGAGGCCCCGAAGCGTCCTCGTGGTGTGCACTTCGAAGAATTTCCTCCACCGGCAGCGAGTGAACGAACAGGCTCGGCGCCCTTGAAGGTAAATGTCAGGATCGGAGGGCTTGCAGCAGATGTGGTCGGAGAGACCCACTATGTCAGGCTGAGGACAACCGCTGCCAAGATCGTTAGCAGGCCTAGTGGCGTAGCAGTGCAGATAGACAAGGCCAAAGTTACCGGCCCCTTGCCTCTGGACGATTCTCGGGACGCTCCAGCCAAGATAAGTCTGACCGATATCAGGGTTGAGTACCGATTTTCTCCGAAGGAAGAAGACTTGGACCGGCTACTAGGCTTAATCACTCCGTCCAAGGACAAGTACGACGAAGATGATGATATCATGTTAGATACGCTCTTCCGCCAGCGGAGGCAGGGTTCTGTACTCTGCGTCACGGTCTCTGGAGCACGGGTTGCTGTTTCTCGCACTACTGATCTCGACTCCATCTCCCAGCTGGCAGATGAATTGAGCCGACTGTCGAATGTCACAAAGTACCTACCGGAGGATGACAGGCCTGGTGTGCTGACCCTTGCACTGATGCGTGAACTTGAGGTTCAGGTGCATATAGGTGGGAAGGTGGGGGAAATGAGCGCCGTTCTTCGAAATACCGAGCTAGCCTTTATAAGTCTGCCTTCACTCATTGCTGCGCAGCTGGGCTCTATATCGGTTGCTAGGAATAGGGACGAAGAGCTTGTGGGAGAAGCATCGGCAATCGGTCACAAATCCAGCCCAAGCCAGAGTCCACTTCCAGTCCTGATGGCGCGCTATATTGCTGACGAGATGGACCCCACGGTCAAAGTGAAGTTACACAACTTCCGCGCAGAATATACACTCCCATCTATCATCGCCTTCCTCGGCCTCAGTGAGGATATGACTACTGGGGATGTGGCTGCCAACATGGCAAGCTCCTTGGCCAACCTCGCAGAGTTGCAGCCTCCACATCAGAACGTCCAACCGGAGAAAGAGGGCCGTTCTGACACCCCTTCAAAGCCTATCAAGTTGACAATAGACCTTCGAGACTGCGTGCTCGGTCTCAACCCACGCGGCACCGGTGCGAAAGGCCTCGTAGTTCTTACAAACGCCAAGTTTTCTGGTGCAATACATGATCCCGTGTCTTCTGATGCCACACTAGAGCTCCGGAAAGCGTCTCTCATGATCATAGATGATGTGGCGAACGTGGGATATGCAGACAATGTCCAGAGGAGAAGCTCAGCTCCTCCGCACAGCAATCAGGTGCAGTCTTTTATTGACCATGGTTTTGTGACGGTTTGCACAATTTCTTCAGCCACAGCTACGGTCAAGATAGTGAAGCTGAGTGATGATGGGGCAAAGTCACTCGATGTGGAGCTGAGAGATGATCTGCTGATCCTGGAGACCTGTGCCGACTCAACACAGACTCTCATAAGCATCGTCAATGGGCTCCAGCCTCCTACTCCCCCAAGCGTAGCTGCGAAGTACCGTACAGAAGTACTGCCCATCCAGGATATGCTATCTTCTTTTACTGGAGATGCTTTCTTTACAGACATGCCGGAGCAACCCGAAACGACGGAGCCTGCTGATCAGGATCAGGGAGAAGGACATTTGGAAGATGAGCGTGACTATGTCAGTGACTTCAAACATGTCACCTCGGTCCCCGAACATGGATCTTTGACAGAGGGTATGATGGCGGGTTCGAACGAACTACTAGATAGCTTCCACTCGCAGTACTATGTGTCATCGAGTATCTCCGAGCTGGACTTCCGAGAGGATCACTTTGCCCAAAAATCTGCTGTTGGTGGTACAGCGCATCGCTGGGATTCTACCCAAAACACTTACGGACTCTCAGACGACTCCAAGCTTCAGAAGAGCCCGCTGAGGATCAGAGTCCGCGACGCACATGTGATCTGGAACTTGTTCGATGGATACGACTGGCAGCGGACTAGGGATACCATATCAAAGGCTGTGAAGGACGTGGAGCGGAAAGCCATTGAACGGCGTGCGCGTGCTGGCAGCCGAGCGTCTCCCAGCTTTGACGAGGAAGAAGAGTCTGTGATCGGCGACTGCTTGTTCAACTCGATCTATATCGGTGTCCCTGCCAATAAGGATCCCCGCGACATCCGTAATGACATCAATCGCAACATCGACGACCTCGCTAGTGAAACGGGAAGCTACGCGACTACGACGACTGTCACTGGGGCCACGGTCCGGCAAAGCCAGTCGCCCTCGGTCCGAGGAAAGAAGCTGCGCTTGTCTCGAAGCAAGTACCATAAGATGACATTCGAACTCAAGGGCATATGTGCGGACCTGGTCGTATTCCCACCCGATTCCGGGGAAACACAGAGCTCATTAGATGTTCGCATTAAAGACCTGGAGGTGTTTGATCATGTGCCTACTTCTACGTGGAAGAAATTCGCAACATATATGCACGAAGCGGGCGAGAAAGAGAGTGGGACAAGCATGATTCACCTGGAGATTTTGACTGTGAGACCGGTACCTCAGCTTGCAGCAACCGAAATCGTGCTTAAGGCGACCATACTCCCTCTGCGGTTACATGTCGATCAAGACGCTTTGGATTTTATATGCCGCTTCTTCGAATTCCGTGATGATTCAGCGCCGACTCCAACCGCTCCGAGCGATGTTCCCTTTTTACAAAGAGTCGAGGTGAATGCCGTTCCTGTCAGACTTGATTTCAAGCCTAAGCGAGTCGACTACGCGGGACTCAGGTCTGGCCGGACGACCGAGTTCATGAATTTCTTCATACTGGATGCAGCTGACATGACCATGCGACACGTCATCATCTACGGGGTGTCGGGCTTTGACAAGCTTGGGCAAACGCTCAACGACATCTGGATGCCAGATATCAAGAGGAACCAGCTGCCAGGCGTGCTGGCTGGACTTGCTCCGATCCGGTCTCTCGTTAACGTGGGCGGAGGGGTGAAGGATCTCGTGGCGGTACCTGTGCGCGAGTACCGCAAAGACGGTCGCCTTGTACGAAGCATCCAAAAAGGCGCATTATCCTTCGCGAAGACCACTTCGAACGAGCTCGTCAAGCTGGGTGCCAAGCTTGCTATCGGAACACAGACGGTCCTCCAAGGCGCCGAAGATATTCTCACTACCCCTAATGCGTCGGGAGCTGGCGTAGAAGACGAGTACGCGGACGATGAAGAAGCGAAGAAGATCTCTCTGTACGCCGATCAACCCGTAGGGGTGGTCCAAGGTCTTCGCGGCGCATTCCGGGGGCTGGAGCGCGATCTGCTTCTGACACGGGATGCCATAGTCGCGGTGCCTGGCGAAGTTATGGAAAGTGGAAGCGCCAAGGCCGCCGCCAAAGCTGTCTGGAAGCGTGCTCCGACTGTGGTTCTTCGGCCTGCCATTGGTGTATCCAAGGCCGTGGGGCAGACGCTGCTGGGGGCTGGGAACACACTGGATCCTAGTAACCGGCGAAAGATGGAAGATGTAAGTCAATACCATCAGTAGCTGACCGTATACTAACATGCTTGCAGAAATATAAACGCCATTAACGGCTTTGTCGCTGCATCGTTGGCAGTGCTTAGTTCTTCTGGGTGCTTAGTTCTTCTGGGATGGTTTGGTGCATAATTGATTGGGACATCTACCGGAGCAGGTCACACATTCACCTGCGGGCAGGTTAGGTTACCTGGGACTGATTTAATGATGACTATGACGGATGATTCTTTGCTTAGCACTACTACCCCTTGAGTTTTTTGATACAATGATGGCTTTCAAGCATGATTGGTGTTGGATTGATATTGATATTTTTGGGGATGTTTATGATTAAGATTGGTATTAGTTTGAGGCAGGTAGACTGGATGTGAAATATGAATGCTAGATTATGCAGTGTATACTTGATTTGAGATGTACTGGTGTAGCTGTAGAAATCCAGTTGCTATCAGCAGCAACTACTGTGCAGCAGAAAAATAGATAGTAGTCGATGAATTGAGAGTGGAACCTCATTTCCTAACCCTACCTAAATCCCGAACCCGAAACCGAAACCGATCAAGCCAATCAATCATGTTGGTAGATTGAGAAGATCTTAGCGCGTGATCAGCAAAATGCTCAGCCACGACTGGGATCTAATTACTTGCTTGTTTGCTGACCTACCTGCATGCCTGAATAGGAAGGTACGACTAGATTCGAAGAGTATGCTAAGATAGTACTAGCAAATGGTTATTCATCCATGATGACACGAGCGTACCTCTACTTAGGTACTATATACGTGAAATAAGTAATTGCAGTCTTCCACTAAACTGTGGAGAATGATCCGATGGACCCTCTACATCCGATATGAAGATAATTCAGCCTTAAAATAGATACCATAGAAAATCCTGAAAAAAAAAAAAAAAAAAAAAAAAAGAATCTGGTCAATGCAATCTATAACAAACCACAAAACAACCATCTTATCAAGCATCGACAACAAAACTCCGAATTTGTATCCAAGACCACACACACACACACATGAAGACATATCAACCAACCAACCGACCAAAAAGAAAAAAACATCAAACAGAAGGAGCATAACCCTTCCCCACCTGATGATCCAAAAACGCCAAATCAACACCATCCCTCCCACTCCCCTGCTTCACCCTCGACCACTTCGTCTGCTTCCACAACCCCCCAAAGCAAAACCCCGGATGCATTACCGTCATGGCCGACGTAGCCAACACAATCATCGCGCCCTCCAGCACCATGAAATCCACTTCATCGTTGGCAAGTTTACTATGAAATCCACCTTTCAACTCGGCGACTCTGAATACGGAGCGGATGAAGATGGTTATTGTTGCGAGGGATAGGCCTGTCCATAATCATAACAACAACATTAGCCATACGCAACCCTAAAAAAGGGGAAAGAAGGAATGGAATAAACATACCACCCAAAAACCCCCTCCACAGCCTCCCCCCTCTAACCTCCCTCATCCTAGCATCCCCATTACTCAATCTATACGGATTCTTCCACACGCGATAGGCAAACTCCCCACAAAGCCCCATAAACAACACCAGGGACACAACTTGACTGGCTAGCCCCGCTATCATAATATTCACCCCTGTCTGGGCGAGATCCGCTTGGTCTGCGTCCGCGGTGGAGGTGATTGCGCCGCCGGCGGCTTGGAGGATTAGGGAGATGAGGTCGCAGGTGATGAAGAGGTAGGTGTAGGTTTTTGGGTGGAGGAGGGAGGTGTGTGCGGCGCCGTAGAGGGTTATGATTCGGGTGAGGCAGATGTAGATGGAGGCGGAGAGGAGGGCTGGTGCAATAGTCAAACAAATCAGGTATCTAGTTCAAGTTTAGGGTTTTGTTAGTAGGGGGTTGGATGTGAGAAGAATGGTATGGGTATGGGTAGGGGGGTATGTACTCAAGGTAAGGAGTGAATTTAAACGGGTTATAGTGCATTTGAATCCGCCCTACATAGCCGATTATCTCTAGGAGAAGACCGCCGAAGAGACCCGTTAGGTAGCCCCAGGTGCGGTAGCGGATTCCGAGGATGAGTTGGGCGATGAGGAGGGCGGCGAAGACGGCGGCGTAGAAGATGTTGCCGGCCAGGGAGGGGACGTAGTTGACGTAGGCGTCGGAGAGGGGGCAGGTGGTGAGGGTGCAGTAGTCGGAGGGGTCGAGGGATGTGCTGTTCGTCGTCGTGTTGGACATTTTGATGTATTGTATATCATGTATAGTAAGTGTAGTGAGTAAATGAATAATTCAATTGAAGATGGAGATGGAGATGGAGATGTTATATGTACAGCTGGCTCCCATCTCCCTCATATACAGCAGCACATTATACTAAGGACGATCCAAAAATATCCCATCCTTCATCAACCCTCTTGACAAGCCTCACTGGAATAAGCGAAGCCTAATCAGGCCCCCAGTATACCCCCAACCCTAACTGCATCAGATTAAATCAGCTCAATTGAAGTGTCATAGTCACTGGTAAGCACCAGCCCAACAAAAATCTATCTTGGCACATCTCGGAACGAACCGAGAGGTACTATCACTGGCGGAGAAGAAACGTAAAAGCCACGATGGATGAGCTTCAATCAAGCACCGCCTCGTTGCCAAGAGAGGGTGTCATATAGTAGTTTATATAGAAAGAGGGTTGTGCGGACATGGACACGGACACGGACGGACACGGATACGGACTTTTATAGTGAGTTGGGATGGATACGGCCCCAAACGGACACGGAGAATGTGTACCCACTTCTCGTGAGACTGCTATTTCTGTTAGGGTTGAACTAGATATAGAATGAGGCTGGCTTGAGACTTGTGAGGGACAGCCGTTGCGAGGCTCATTCGATCCTTTGATAATACTATCAAGATGATGATCAGAGCTCTAATCAGAGGATTAGGATTGGTGGTGTAGATATGTCTAGATGTTGCCTACCACTTTCTCCTGAACTTCTACTCTTGTTCAAGTCACAAGTGTGGTGAACTGTCTCTTCACCTCGCATCATCTACACAATGTCTTCCCGCACAACACTCAAGACCATACGCAATCATATCCAGCACCAAGCTGCACGCTGCCGCGCTTCTCTTCCAGACATTTCCCTAGCACCCAGACTCCAAGTCATAGTCACCAAGGCCCGCCAGGGTCCCTTCATCTTCTGTCTCAGCTTCTATCTCCTCTCGACTTGTCTCTCATGGCTCATCTCAACAATACATTTCTCCTCTCAATTACACGCCCACACCCTCTCTTCTGATAGCCTTTACGCCTATGAAACACCACCTTCGGAAATCACCACAAAACCATACCAATGGGCACCTCCACCATCATCACCTCTTAATATCACCTCTCCCTCATCCATTCCCCCCATCATCCACCGCATATGGCGCGGTGACCTCACCAAGCCCATCCCCGAAGAATACATCAACGCCAGCTTCTCCTGCCATAACCAGAACCCGACATACGAGCAATATATCTGGACAGACACAACGGCCCGTCAGTTCATCGAGGTATACTTCCCCTGGTTCGCACCCATATACAATGACCATCTCCTCCCCGTGCAGCGCGTCGACGTGCTCCGATACTTCCTCCTCTGGCATTACGGGGGTGTGTACCTGGACCCTGAACTCGGGTGCCAGTGGCCATTGGATTTTTTGTTAATGGGTGCAGAGCAAGATGGCAAGGTGCTGCTGCCTCAGCACTGGCCGTACGGGGTCGGGAATGAGTTCATCGCGAGTAAGCCGAACCATCCGTTTGTGATCAAGGTGGCGCTGAGTGTGCATGAACATCGATGGGAATTTGTGCCAGCATATGCTATGGCTTTTTTGAGTGCTGGGGCGGTGTTGGTGAGTCGGGTGCTGGGCATGTGGTTGTCTACTGTTGGGGGTGGAGTAGGCATTGTGCCCGGGGATATCTTTGAGGGGACTGAAGAGGCATTCTTTATGCGGTTTGTCGGGGAGAGGCTGCGCGGTGATGAGGTTGCGGTGTCGGAGTGGTTCTTTGGGAATTGGGTGGGTTGGTGTGCGGCTGGGATTGCGCTTGGGGTGATGGGGTTGATGGTGTTTGGGGTGAGGAGGCAGCCGAGGAAGCGGGGGTATACTCTGGTGTAGATAGCTGTTGATGAAATTGGACTGTATTGAATAAAGCATTAATGGGATTGCTTTTGTCTTGACTGAGATAGATGGCAGTGATTTCATCGCTCAGCGCAAGCGCTGCTCAGACGCCTTCGTGTACTCCATCCAGTCAACGAGTATCTCATCAATTGTTGCGTCGGGAAAGAAGCCCGGCCATTGCATATCATACACTTCACGGGGTATCATTGTATAATCATTTATACCATCCAGTGACAGCTGCGCGGATTCAAGGTGATTGTTCTCAGCTCCGGATGGGCTCATGTTACTAGGTTGTACTGGAGGCTGAAAGGAATCACTCTTTTGTCTTGATAACATCCGATTTTCAAACCACCACTGAACTCGCTTCAGACGCTGTTCATAGTGGTAGAACACATCTCGGTCACCGGAGGCATCCATACTAGACGTAACCAGTGCCTGCATACGAAGGATGCACCGACTAAGCATGCTGGATATGTCTAATGCACGGCACAACTCCGCCGTGTGAGGCTGTATCGAAGGCTCTGATGCTGCTACAACAAGCTTACTCGCAAGAGTCAGTGCAAAGCCAATCTGGATCCATATGGCGTTGTTGAATGCCATTTCACTGCGCAACGGGAGGCAGACGTAGTAGTCAAGTAGAGCTTTGGCCGCAACGAGACCCATCCGGAGAGCCTCGATCTGAAATGAAACTTCACGTCTTGGGCTCTGCGTTTTGGGCTTATTATCGAACAAACTGATCTGGCAGAGATACAGTTCGGCCGTATAGTATTGCATGAAAAGGATATCTGTGTCATCAGTATCATGACGAAGTCCATCATAAGCTGCTTACTTACTGTTCTCATGCAACGGACACGGTAGACTAGCCCGATATTGCTCCAGCTCTAGTTTCATCTCACGAAAAGAACGCTCACTGCTTGAGCCAGGACCGTGGGTCCCTAGAATGTTCTGTGCTGAGATAGAAGTGATCTTCTCCGATAGCCGTTGAAGCTGTACTATATGGAGTAGGTGCTGGTCGGAGGCATACTCGGCATCTGTGGCCAGGAGCTTGCAGCATTCATCAAAATAAGGCATGTACGAAAAGGTGCATTGCTTGTGTAGGATTTGCGAAACGCTACGAGACGTTAACTCCAGTACTAATCGTGTAGAAGCTACCCTTACCTCGATGAAAAATAGAATATTCCGAGAACGGCCCGTCTCTCATCATGCCCCCAAGACACCGACTCTTTGTGTTCTTCCGGATTAAAGTTCACTCGAGTCCTCCAGAGCCGATATTCAGGCGCGCGGTCCAGTTGCAGGTCCGTGATAATGCTGATCGCAAGATGCAAATATTGCGAGAACCGGCGCGGCCGTGAATGATATTGACACCTAGACCTGTCAGCTCGGCATACAAACATAGACTATCAGGCGTACCATGCAATATGGACTAGCAGCCCTTGCAGCACCTCGAATGAGACTGGTCCATCGAAGATCATGCAGTCGCTAACCTTCTTCTTCACCTCTTTTTCGAGCATACGCTGCAAAGGCATGTTGTCATACAGAGTAGCCGTTAAGATGGTAAGGAAAAGAAACGGTTTGTCTCTCCTGAGACTCTCAGCAGAGGTCTGTGGTGGGATGACTACGAATGGACTATGAGGCATAAGCGTTGCGCGGAATTCATTCAGCAGCATATTGGCAGCATCCACGGTAAGCAAGCCTTTGTCAATGGCATCTTTGGACTGTGATGCAGTGCTTGCAGGACTTTCATCGGTTGTGCTGCTAGTTCTCTATAAAACGTTTAGCCCTCTGCCTAGCGAATGGGGGTGTTGTACGCACCGGAATTGGGGATACCGACGTCGCTAGCAACTGGTCGACTTTGGCTTCGAGTAGATCGATCCTCCTTTCGCGCGATGAGAAGACGAACTACATGGTCCGAGGTTCGCAACTCACTTGTCCTTGCTATCTCTCTTGATCCCTCCATTTGTGCTTCGAGACTCTGGAAAGTGACACTCTTTCCCTAGGCGTTCGCATCTAGACCTAGTAAGCCAACCAAACAATCAGCTCGCTCAGACAAGCTCACCGATCGCAGCTCCCGGTAGCCCCGTGGCGGATGCACCGTATCTTGGCTCTGGCACAATTCTGACATGTCCTTACTGAGCCGTTAGAATACCGGCCCCTGGGGCGGGCAAGCTCAGATTGGACCAAGTGAGCCATCACAGATGGAGATTTCCGCGTCAGCGCTGCATTCGATAGATCCGACGGTCAACCGGTGATCTTGGAAGCCTGCAGGGAGTCGAGCGATCCATCCGAGTTCCGTGCGCAGACCGAGCGAGATGACAAGGGGAGCTGGATGGAATGGGACCATGTAGACCCCAGCCATGGAGATTAAAGCAGATTAGCCCGAGTCCACAAGAGGCGAAGCGAAGCTGGCAGATGCGGGGCGGAGTTTGTACCCGCCAGCCACACTAATGCCGCCCGGTCACGTCCACTGCCTCTTGGCGCGTCAGCTCCCTTCCTCTCTGCTGCAAGTACCGGTTTGCATTGAGTTGGAGCACTTTGCCTGAGCTTTCTTTAGAAACTACCAAGTATATCAATCTGAGACGACTGGTTGTCGCGATCAGACTTCGAGGCCGTGCGATGTACCGAATCCGTGATGCTTCCATGGTTCCTCGCAGATATACTTCTCTACCAAGTGGGTCCTGTGCTAGTGCACCAGCACATTTAGACCGTAAGTACGAATTGACTTCTTTGTCTGAGCTGTTGCTCGTGTTGGAACCACTAACCAATCATCGAAGCCAACCTGAGCGAAGAATGACGCTTCCATCTGATTGAAGCTATCGCGCATGGATATGCTCGGAACTGCCTACTGCTGTTGTGCCTGTTCCTCGGCCGGCGACCTGACAGGGCACCAATCAGTGACTGATTTAACCAGAGAAATCCTGTTCCTAGATGCTCTCGGCAATGCTCATGTAAAATGGATGTAGCTCAAGGTTCCGGGATGATGGTTCCATGTATCCTCTCCGGGCACACACTAATCATCTGCAAGCCGGGCTATGGCTTGCTTTCTATACATGATTCAATATTGAAAGAGGAAATAAGTGCGCATAGTTAGCCTTACTTAGTCTACTGGTAGCCACTATTCAGTCCCTAGCCCGCTGCGATATTCAGCCGCGGAGATGACTTGGCGAGCGAATGGCTAGACTAACTCACCGTTCAGTTTACTTCTTAGCTACACTGGCTATGCATGACAGCCTTCGGGATGACTATATGAATACAAGCGCATCAGACGACAGAATAGACTTCTCCGAGCGTGCTATAGTTAATCGCCTATCAACAGTCAAGTCAATCCAGGGGCCAATTGCATGAGGTCATCTGGAGCTCATAGATCGGCTCTCAATAAACCCGGAGAAATCTAGACTGCGAGAACGCGAAGACGACTCCGAGTCTAGATCCAGTTTGGCGACAAGGCAAAGGTGATGCGGTTCGTATCTGCTGCCCAACCCATGGCACAATCCACCCATGGGTCTGGAGTATCGCTCGGAGTAGAGTTTATAGAAGACATGGATGTGACGGCAATAATAGTATCACGGATAAGTATCGCACTTGCCGTAATAGTCCATGTTGACAGGATTGGTTCGGTATTCTGTTCTGAATACCATAACTGGTGACATGAAAGCTAGCTTCTCAAAATATGGTGAAGGACGAAGTGTGTAGAGAGGCTAGTGCAGCATTGGGGGTTATTCTGTGACGCTGTAAATTGTATAGCCAATTATAGAGTTCGAATACAACTACCCACCAGTCAATGGCTCGACGAACCAATATTATTACTTACTAAGGAGGTAGTCACACAGCGATAGCTTAGTCTAGGCCTTGGGAGCAAAGTAGGTCTTCTGCACTGCGTCGTAATCTGGGGTCTGCGGGAATGTTCCACCAAATTGCCTGGCATTTTACTAAAGAGATCACGAGATAGGTACGAAGCTCCTGAGACACGATAAGGCGTACCGCAGCTTCAGAGTGCTTTGTGAAACATTGGCAGGTACAGGGCACTACAAGGACGATCTTGGTGACGTTTCCACTCTTGCAGTGTCGGTCAACGTAGTTCAATGGAGAGTGGTTTCCTCTCGTGGCTTATGAGATGGCAGGTCTTGGCTTCGTTGGTGAGAGAATGCCACGCTACAATCGGTTGGCCGAACGGAGAAAATCCGCCCTGGGTGCTAAAATAGTACCCTGGTACCGATGTTGTAAAATGGGAATCCCTTGGTGATTCTGGGGTTTGACCCTAATTAGTTTATCGAGTTGTTTGCGGCACCCCAAGCAACCTTAAAGGACTGTACTATCGAATGGCGATAGAAGTCAGCAGGTGTTGGGAACGAGACAGAGTCTGGAACGGGAACACAGTTGGTTAGCAGTAAAGTTCGGCGGAGTGGATCAGAAACCGTCAGCCTCATTGAATTGAGAGGGAACCATCGTAGCCACATATGATGTATGGAAAACTCAAATGGCGGACGGATTGGACGTATAGCATGGCTCGGTTCAGAAGGGTTGGCAGGTGAGGATGCCTAGTGTGACTGGACACATGAACTACGGAGAGGAGCAGAGCAGAAGGAATGGATGGGCGAAGCAGGCAAATATAGAAGCGGACTGACTTGAACGCGCCCGAGTTTTGAAACAGCAGAGTTGACCACGTTGATTGGCAGCCGGGACGATGATCGGGGAAAAGGCTGCGGACGAATGGGTGGCCCGGATGGCATATCTCAAACCACCGGGATGGGAAAGGGTTGAAACAGGATCTTCAAGGAATGTAGATTGGTTAGTGGTTACTCGGGAAGGGGGAGTGCTGAGGTCATTCGGAAGGATCATGTCTCGACAAGGAGGCAAGGGGAGGGAAGAAGGAGGCAGAGAACGAGTAAGTCAAGGAGAAAAAAGAAGAAGGGAGAAAGACTGTAAGACGGGGATGTGCAAGTTGGAAGTGGATGATGACTCTCTCTCGGTCGGAGTTGTCCCGTCCAAAAGAGAGGGAT